TGATCCGCCGTGTAATTAGGCACCTTATGAGGACCCTTAAAATCCTTAGGCAAGCACTCGTTACGTAGAGCCGGCACTAAACGTGGCACGCCAAGGGTCCTGGAGGTCACACCTGCCTCCAGAGACGTCGATGGGTAAGCCGAAGATTGTTGTTGAGCCGCCAGCTCTGCCTCACACCGCGCTCTTCCCTGGTCCACCAAAGCCTGAGCATCATTACCAGCGTGTGGCGGGTCAGGCCTATGAGGCTGGTGGTGTCGCTCACTGCTCGACACAACCGGCGAATCCATGTGCCTGCTGTAACTCCGGCTTGGACGCGGGGTTGAGTGAATCCGTTCACGACTGTATGAATAAGCCGCCTGTTGAGCCACATCTGTCTAAAGAAGTTCTCTAGCTCGCCGTATCTCCATCATAGCTGGTGACTCATCTTGAACAGGGAGAGCCGCCAATCGGTTGGTTGCGGCGATCATATTATCCAGAGGGTTAGAATAATGACCCAGGGGCGTCGGAACATGCTGAGGAGGGATCAAGTTTAAAGGCGGGGGGTTTGCAGTACGTGGCTGAACCGGTGCTCCAGCTGCAGGCGCCTCAACGACCCGATCCACAACAGGCGGGTTACTGGTTCCTGCCCCAGGCGTGTTGAAAAGGTTTCTTGCATCGTAAACCGGGGGTAAACGACGTGTATGCCTTTTGTTAAAGACAACGTTCGATGTGTTCCAGTCCAAGCTCAAGCGAAAATTTTCTGCTTGAATCCGCTCTGCTTCCCTTTCCAAAGAAGGTCGTTCCATCGCCATCCATGTGTTCTCAGCGTTAAGATCCTCCTTAGCTTGAGCTATCTCATCACGTAACTTTGCAACGTCCACATTATGTTATGCTTGGTTCGCTGGGGTTACCTCCACCGTCAGCAACGTTGCCAGAGCCTCCAACAGTTCAGATAAAACTTGAGCCGGCGGGCGCACGGGGCCTCCTGCCCCGGTTGCCGTAGCCGTCGCTGAACTGGAAATCATTGCTACAATATCTGAAGAATTCTGCCCCGGCTGCATATCGACCATGAAGATCGCAACCCGGTTTGGCGGATCATAGGGGTCCAGAATACTGTCGCCATTGGAACAGCCCCCAAGCCTATCATCTTGCACTTGGTACATGGAATTGGTCTCACCGGTTAAGGACTCATCGCCTGAGTAGGCGGTCGTCTCTCCACCGGACACAGATCCTCCTTCTAGATCCACTCCTTGAGTAAAGCCAACAAAGACACGCTTCGGGGAGGCTTGAATCTTGGCGGGTCGTGCGCGCTGAGCCGTTTTGACGATGTCGGCGCAGGTGTCCGGCTCAGCTTCCGACTCACCGATCTTGCTGATGAAGACATGAATTCCGCCGAAGGGGACCTAGTACCCGTACTCGATTGAGCCGGCCTCAGGGCCCCAGCTCGCGTCGTCGATGTAGAGCTTGCCGCAACGGCTCTTAGTCATCCGGCCCACAGCGTATCCCTTGATCCCTGCGAAGTTTCCCTTCAAGAACTCGAAGCCACCGTGCGCTGACCCCATGGTGGGCGCCAACTGTCGTGGACTTAACGCGGTAGATGCCTTATCAAGAGGACTTAGGTGTGGAGCCATCGCTCCTAGGTTAGCTTGAAGGGGTTAAATGGGACAAAGGACACCGAGAGTTTTACCTAGGTTCGGCCCCTCTCAACGAGGTAAAAGCCTATTCTTGCTTTAGGTTGTATTGCTTGTGTTTCGATTACCAGGGAGCGAATACGCTTGACCTAGTTCTCGATCTCTTCTTTCTTGTTCTCACCCGCCGCCGGGTCACCCCTTTATATACACAGGTTGATGCCCGGCGGCTTACAGAGTCCCGACCGGCTCATACACACCGTGTCCGGCTCGGTGACCAAACTAAGCTTTCCTTAACATACAAGTTAAACATATGGCGGTTTATACCCATGGGCCTCAAGTCTCCTACGGGGCTTGGGCCTTCAGTAAGCTTGCTTTATGAACCGCCATCTTCAACATCTTCTTGGGCCTTCTCTTCATGAATCGCCAGTGGTATGACCCGGCCCCTCCTGGGCGGGTCATACCTAACAGTTATATCCCCAACAGAGGGGATCTACGTCAACCTTGCTGCCCCTCGATGATGTGTGAGTAGTTTACCACAGACCTACGGGTCCATAGCTAGTAGCTAGATGACTTCTTCTCTCTATTTGATCTTCAATATAATGTTCTCCTCAATGTTCTTGGAGATCTATTCGATGTAATCCTTTTTTGCGGTGTGTTTGTTGGGATCCGATGAATTGTGGGTTTATGATCAGATTATCCATGAATATTATTTGAGTCTTCTCTAAACTCTTTTATGCATGATTGTTATAGCTTTGTATTTATCTCTGATCTATCCGTTTGGTTTGATCAACTAGATTGATTTATCTTGCAGTGGGAGAGGTGCTTTGTGATTGGTTTGATCTTGCGTTGCTCAATCCCAGTGACAGAAAGGGACATGACACGTACTTGTATCGTTGCCATTAAAGATAAAAAGATAGGGTTTATTCATATTAATTGGGTTTACTTTGTTTACATTATGTCATCTTGCTTAAGGCGTTACTCCGTTTTTATGAACTTAATACTCTAGATGCATGCTGGATAGCGGCCGATGTGCGGAGTAATAGTAGTAGATGCAGGCAGGAGTCAGTCTACTTGTCTCAGACGTAATGCCTATAACATGATCGTTGTCTTGGATATCGTTATAACTATATATGCACTTTTCTATCAATTGTCCGATAGTAATTTGTTTACCCACCATATGCTATGTTCAAGAGAGAAGCCTCTAATGAAAACTATGGCCCCGGGCCTATTTTTATCATATATTATAATCCAAAAATATTTTGTTACACTTTATTTATTTTTTATTTTATTTTGCGTTTTTGTTTATCTATCTATCACTATGAGATTTGATCCTTGCAATTAACCGCCAAGGGATTGAAAACCCCTTGTTTGCGTTGGGTGCAAATATTTATTATTTTGTGTGTAGGTGCTGTTCACGAGGTATTGCGTGGTTCTCCTACTGGATTGGTAACCTTGGTTCTTAACTAAGGGAAATATTTATCTCTACTATACTGCATCATCATCTCTTTGAGGAAACCCCAACGCAGCTCACAAGTAGTAGCATGCACCGCAATTTACGGCTTCTCATCTCCTTCCCTTGAAGCTCCATCGATGCAATTGATCGAGAAACTCCTGTAGCCACACGACACAGTCGTTGGCATCGGTGCTCGTGCTCACTGCCCCATCTTAAGGAGATACACTGCGGCCAAAGCAGAAACCAATTAACGCAAGTAATTAAAAACATAATTATGTATCTGTATTGTTTCTTCATGGAGGAAAATTATCCTTTTGGTACATGCAACTTGTATTTCATTGGGCACTCATCCCAGTTCATTAGAAGCATGTGTCATGTTGAAAGACAAAATAATCTTCTAGGTGGAAACAAGTTACTATTTCGTTTGAAGCAAGTTATCTAGTCGATGGAATCAATTTCATGATCCTTTTGAAGCAATCTATCATATTGTTACACAATACACAAAAATCGGTTATACCATGGGAAGCACAAACGTGTTCTGTTCAAAGCATACCATGAAAAATCCATGAAATTGAAGCAAATTTCATTAACCCTTTTCAGTTGACGGAAGCATAAATTTGTTGTATTGAGAACAAACATTGAAGCAAATTTTATTAAACGTGAATGCTCAAGATTTGACCGGTGAAAGCATAAATTTGTTTTTTTGTTCAAAAGAAAACCATCTTTTTTTCTGTTTACACTAGCAAAAGAGCCCATGTGTTGCAACGGGAAAGATACCACACCCCCCTAACCAAATAGCCATGACCGAAAACCCCAATAGGTCCACATCCTTTATTCAACACATGTCATCTCATCTGCCAGTTATCCTCCCTCCCACCCTGGTAGTGTGGCCTCGGTGCTCACATAATAATGAATGTTGTCAAGCCTAGGGCCTCTCTCCCCTCTCTCTCTCTCTCTCTCTCACCTCTCTCTCTCTCTCTCTCTCTCTGCATAAGATGAGAAATTTGTTATTTTTTCCTGTAAGGATTTGGCGAGGCTTGCATCCGTGGTTATAAATGGTTTATTTCGTCTTCAATCTTAGTTTTGTTGAGGTGTTCATTTTCAATCCGGATCGGCACCAGCATGAAAGTAAGACAAATCATGCGCTATTGATTAAGGTTGCATCATAAATAGCATTTTAAAAATGGTTAACGAGTAAAATAACATCATATTCAGGTTATATACATATTTCTAATCAAATTTCGTATATAACATCTTAAATTCGGACTTAGGGTTTAAAAGATATTAATATATTTTTTAAATCATTTGATATATACTACGGGTTGGTTAACCCAAACATTAGGGGGTTTCCTGCAAAAACAAGAATTTGACTTAAAACTGCCCCGCTGGTTGATTACCGAAAACACCACTGGATTTCCAGTAAAAATAAATTCTGATTAAATATAGACTGCGAGTTGATTACCAGCAACATCAAAGGCCTATTCCCTTTAGGAGTATATACAGAGGTATAGATTAGATAGAAGCAAATTTCTGCTCCATGGGAAGGAAACTGGAATTCTAATGGAAGCATTTCATAAGGAGGCAAGCATACAGAGGGGAAACTCCTTTTGGAGTTAATTAGTCTCCATAGCAACCGAAATTTGTTTCCTACAAATCTGGAAGAATCAAAGCAGGGGTAGTGAGTGAATCCCACGTAGTAATTGATTTTAGTTTTGGTAACTCCCGACTGATGGTGCATGGTGGCCACTGTCCTGATCTCACGATTGTGTGGGCTTTGATCCAACGGCCATCTACCGATCTGACGGGATGGCCCTCCGTCCCGTTCCGTTTCCACCGGGCCTATAAATTCCATTATCTCCCTGACATCCTTTTGCCACTCCTCTTGTCGCTTCCTTCCAAGGTTACAGGTGAGTGAAGGTGGACGGAAACCAGGGGAGATGATGATTGCCCGCGGCTGCCTCCTCAGATCCAAGGTGACCGCGGTTCCCCTTCATTCTCTTATTGATTGCCTATCGAGACTGTTGATGTGGGGCGAAAGAGGTAGTACTTCCTCGTATTCTCATCATCCAGAAACGCCAGAGGTGTTCCTTGTTTGTCCGAGGCGTAAGTGGCGCCGTAGATTACGATCGATTCAAGATGTTCCTTTTCGCTTGATCGATTCAAGATGTTCCTCTTAGTTCGATCGGTTCTGGAGCAACAGCGATAGAGCAGTTCCTGGGGATCTGTTTCTGTTCGTCAGTTCCCAAGCTTTTACACTAGACCGTGTGTAAAAAAATTCAACAGGGGGAAGTTAACATGTCTGATCTTTTATTTTGTTTTTCTTCTTTCCCTCTCACCGCACAGGCTGAGAGCATAGTGAAACATGTAGCCAGCGGTGGAAGCTGGCATGGGTTGCATAGTTTTTCAGAGGCATCAGCCAGGGGTTTCAGCTCTGAACCGTCTCTTCAGGCCCACTCGACGGAAGAAATCGGGTAAGTAAAATCTCCATGAGCAGAAATGTTAGTGCGCCACACTCTGTTGCGCGCTAGGATGCTTGCAAGCTTCACATGGATTATATCTACGGTGTATAGTTTCTACTGATGCTGCAACATTTTACCAGGTTCAAGGGGCATGGCATGCTGGCTCCATTCACAGCTGGCTGGCAGAGCACCGATGTGCATCCCCTGGTTATTGATAGATCTGAGGTTCTGGGCCCTGCCATTGTTTAATGTTCACTTGTCTATAAATTGCAGTGATTGTAACTTGAAAGTTCTATCTTACACTCTGCAACTCATATTACAGGGTGCATATGTCTATGATATCAATGGGAAAAAGTATATAGATGCTCTTGCAGGACTCTGGTGTACAGCTCTAGGTATGTGCATTTCATGATCCATGGAGCCATATTTTACTACATACTGGAAAATTGTTGCGTTATTTAGATGATGCTAGTTGCATCACATCTTTCTATTTCTCCATGGCCCTGGATGGGTAGTCCAAACTCAAATTTTATGTTCACTTGTAATTTCAGTTCTAAGAGCTTTTACATGGATTTAAGTTGTTCCCAGATAATGTAGGGCAGTGCACTGCACACTTTTGGGTTAGCAAGAGTAAACAAAGTTTTGCGCAAAACTAAATCACTTGATACATTTTTGCTCGGGAAAAACTTACCACTGACTGATTGCACTTAATAAAAGTGCTGGCTATTCCTAATTCAAATGAGTGTCAAGATGAGCAAGAAATTGTCTACTTTCATGTTCTGTTAACATTGATTTTATATCTAGATGCTATCACTACACTCTTTCCCATTTTTTAATATGCTTGGAAGAATAGAAAAAAAAACATTAAAATAACATAAACAGTTCTTGTTAGTTGAGCACCCTTTCCAAGCAAATATATTAAAATTGTCCACAGCAAGTTTTTTTTTCTGGAAAGTAAGGGTATCGATTGATGCACACATCCCCAGCGAGGAGGTAGTTCATTTTCCATCGATTGGAAAGGAAGGGTTGCTTAATTTAAAAACCCACCTACAAGAAGGTTTCTTAGACTTATCATATATGATCACATATATTTGGGTTTAGCAACTGTGGTTAACATTTTTTTCCAGCAGCTACATTTTGCAGATTATTTTTAGACAACTTTCCCTTGGCTGTTCTCATTATTTTCAGGTGGTAGCGAACCTCGACTAGTCAAAGCTGCAACAGAACAATTAAACAAATTACCCTTCTATCATTCCTTCTGGAACCGTACTACCAAACCCTCATTGGTACATACTTTGATTTCTCCGTGTGTCTCCTTAAGACAATTGCTAATGATATACGTTTTCTGTTGTTGGGGACATCCTGTCCATTTCTATCTTCACCTTCTTCCACTAGAAAATAAAGAATGTTTATGAAAAGACCGTTTGAATGAAGTTCATGATGGATGCTGTGTTGCTAACTTCAGGATCTTGCAAATGACGTTCTCAGCATGTTTACTGCAAGGGAAATGGGAAAGGTATTCTTCGCAAATAGTGGTTCAGAAGCAAATGACTCACAGGTACAGGTTAAACAAAATGTCATCTGTTCGAGTTTATGATAGTCATATCTTAAGCACCTTTTTCTTATCTGCCCACTGTGCTCAATCATGAATAGTCGAAACAATACACAGTGTCACATCCTGTCGAAAATATACATTTTGCCACAGAAGAAATGACTATGCTTTTGATCTTCTATGCACAGAAACATTAACACTATCATGGTTGTGAATTTTATATTGTGTTCCTACAGTTAGTCCACCTGCCTGAGTAGCGTCTGGAGCAGTCATAAACTAGTTTAGTACTTAAATGCAACATGGCCTATTATTGCTAAATCTTGCTCTGTCTATGATCGCTATTTAGACCCATGATCACTATTTAGATCCATGATCGCTATTTAGATCTTGCTCTGTTGATGCCTTTCCATGATTGCTATTTAGATCCATTCCTCCACTCCTAGTAATGCTGGTTTTTTACAGGTGAAACTAGTGTGGTATTATAACAATGCAATGGGGAGACCAGACAAGAAGAAATTTATTGCACGCTCAAAATCGTAAAGCGCCTTTTCAGTTTCTTTACTACTCTATTCTACCTAATAGCAGTACATATCTTGTTGCTTCATTTCTTCACAAATCTTTACCTAGCAATCCAAATCCAGTTTGCCTTGCATATTAGTTGTTCAGTGGCGTATCGACACCATATTGAATTGCAGTCCAAGTGTTTTGCATGACAATCATGACATGAACATTTGTTTTGTAATAATTTTGCATCCTATGTCTTCTAGGCATAGCCGGTCCCAAGCCCGGGTAAAGGAGGAGGGTTGTGATAGGCTTGGCGAGCCAACGTAAAAACTAGCCAGTCCCATAGGTATGAAACCGATTTGAGCGAGAGTAGTACTAGGATGGGTGACCTCCTGGGAAGTCCTTGTGAAAGAGTTTCATATCTAAGGGTTGTGATAGGCTTGGCGAGCCAACGTAAAAACTAGCCAGTCTTTTGGGTATGAAACCCATTTGCGCGAGAGTAGTACTAGGATGGGTGACCTCCTGGGAAGTCCTCGTGAAAGGGTTTCATATCTAGCCTACCCCAACTTGTTTGGGATCAAAGGCTTCGTAAGTAAGTAAGTAAGTAATAACAAATTGAATAGTCCAAGAATTGCATTGTAACAAGTCTGCACCAGGACACATGCATCCTCTAAGCATTACCATTATGGTATTTGTTCTGATTTTGTAATATGATTTTAACAAGATATTGACTCTACGTTCATACAGATATCATGGTTCAACATTAATATCAGCTAGTTTATCCGGGTGAGCAAAGGATCTTGCATAACAATAGTATTTCTTTCTTTCAATCCTTCAGTTGTGCAATATAATTTATGAGGATGTTCTATTTTCCTCAGTTGACGCACTCCTTATGTGTCTGGTATATTTGTAATCACTTGCTAATTTCTTCTTTATCCGTAGTCTTCCTGCTCTTCATCAAAAGTTTGATCTACCGGCACCTTTTGTTCTGCACACGGACTGTCCACACTACTGGCGCTTCCACCTTCCTGGTACCAATAAGCCAGTTTGTTTTGTACAGTTGTCTCAGGATATTATGTTTAATGAAATGAATTTGTTGTGATATAGATGAAACAGAAGAAGAATTTTCTACTAGACTTGCAAACAACTTGGAGAATCTTATCCTAAAAGAAGGACCAGAAACAGTAAAGTTTATGTTTTTATTTTCTTATCATAATGGATCCTATGCTATAATGTTTGGTCAAAGGTTCCTGAAGTATCCCCCCCCCCCTCTCTGTATCTTTCCAGATTGCTGCTTTCATTGCTGAACCTGTGATGGGTGCCGGTGGTGTCATCCTTCCTCCAAAGACTTATTTTGAGAAGGTAACCTTAAATTACATATAACTCTGAAGTACTTAATTCTAGCTTTTAAATA